AATGTAGCAAGAGCCCTGCCGGCTCTAGCTACATTTCAAAGGCGGAAGCGCCGCAAGGAGCATGGCCAGCAGGGGACTACTCAGCAGGGGACTAGTCAAGTAGTCCCCTGCTGACACTACGCTCCCTGCTTTTGAAATATACAAGAGCCCTTAAATTCAAACAGGGTTAAGTCCGTCCTTCCCCCTGCCAGAAAGATACTTTATGTTCCATGAATTTTACAGCTTGGAATTCTTTCAAAGATCATCTTTGAGTGCTGTGATGAGAGCCACAGTCTCCTGGCTTGTGGGATTTACTGTTAATTTTGTTTCACTGTTGATCATGTTTCTCCTTACTATTGTCTTGTTGGCATGCTTGTGAAGGGCTTGGAGGGTAGGGATGTAAGTGATTAGTTGACTATCTGATAAGCAAATGCTTATCGTATAGTCCACTCAACTAGTTGCTTCCAATCTCCCTTGATGCTTCTATCAGAGAAAGGCAGCAAGGGGGGGAGCAGGATCCAGTGCTGAGGACGGCTGGCTTAAAAGCCAGTTCCCCCCAGCACTGTCTCCCTGGGGAGAAGGGTCAAGGGTGCAGAGGGGAACTGGCGGCGTTTCTGTCTTTGAAACCTAGCAAGAACAGGGCTCTTGTACATTTCAAAAGCAAAGTGCCGCGGGAAGCACGGGGGACTGTTCGAGTCCCCAGCTCACTCCTGGCGGTGCTTTGCTTTTGAAATGTAGCAAGAGCAAAACAGACAATGGTAAGGAGAAACATGATCAACAGTGAAACAAAATTAACAGTAAATCCCACAAGCCAGGAGACTGTGGCTCTCATCACAGATGATCTTTGAAAGAATTCCAAGTTGTAAAATTCAAGGAACATAAAGTATCTTCCTGGCAGGTGGAAGGATGGACTTAACCCTGTTCAAATTTAAGCCAGGGGTGGGGAACCTAAGGCCCAGGGGTCCAATGTGGCCCCAAGCTTGCCTGGATCCAGCCCCCAAGGCTTGGAGATCTTCCCAGCATGGAGAACACAAAATCTTCTAGCATGGGCCACCCAAGGCTCTGGTGTGCGAGGGGAAAGTGAAAAATGCTTTTCTCCTTTTCAGTTAGGGGGGCCGCCTCAGTGAGAGTGTGGGAATTTTTTTGCTTCTCACTTGTGTGCAGCCTACAACTGACTTGTCTGTGGGTCAGCAGCTCCCTGCCCCCCCCTCTACCTCTGATTTAAGCCCTCTATGCTTAGGACACTAAGACATGCCCTCTGCTCCCCTCCCCCATTAGAGTAGTGAAAGATCAGGAACAGGCACAGGATATAAACTCTTTGGCAGAGCAATCCTGAACAACTGCCTAGACACTCACAATTCCATCTGTCTTGAAACAAGGGAAAGCTGATTTCCTCAGAACTCAGCATTTTTCACTGGAATTTCAACCCCAGTTTTCCTTTCCCTATTCTGACTTAACAAGAAGCATGACAGCGTTGTTCCTCTTCAGCCAAATGCTCCTGCACTAGCATCTGTACCTGTACAGAGGATTAGCACTTTGGGACTGGGCTATTTGCAGTCTAACAGCTAGTCTAAGTGAACAGTCTAGAGTGAATACTCCTTCTAGTCACAACTCCACAAAATCACTGATATCATTATGGCTACATGAAAATCTTAAGAATTTGGCCCAAGCAGGTCTGTGAGAAGTATGTTAATGAGCCTACTGAGGCAGTGTACAGCTGGGTCCCAGAGTATGTGGGGATATAAACCTGCAACAAGGAAAAAGCAGTAGGGAGAAGGGAAGAAAGATATGGAAGAACATGTTGCCTGACTCCCTCCTTTCCCATGACAGCTCTCAGGATGTGAAAAAAGCTGAAACTGTGTCCAAAGACTTTTTGGCAGATAACGTCTGCATTTACTGTTGCCAATTTGAACTGATCACTTGAAGAGATCACTTCACATTGGTGCTTGGCCAATCAGCCTTGTGATGGAAACTCCCAAGATTCCCCAAGCATATTTGCTGTATCTGCTGGTCTGCCGCAATGAGACACAGAAAGGTTTTACTAGTGGCTGAGGAGAGAAGGCTGGAGGATTATGGATGTATGAAGCAGTCTCCACAAGGGAAAAAGCCACATCTCGCCACAGAGAAGCAGAACTATTGTGTCAGGTTCACCTGTCCAGTAGCTTTGCTTGAGCCAATGCTTAATAGCAGTGAGACAATAGTAGCAAGGACTGTGGCTTAGGCTAACCAACCTTGTAAGTAACCAGAGGGCAGGCCAACTGACTGAGGATAGGGGGTGGGTTGAAGAGAGCGCAGTTGTCCCAAAGCCCAGCAATTGCAAGGGGCCCAGGGCTCCCAGCCACTGCCACTGCTACTACAGCAGCAGCGGTGGCCAGAGCTCCAGCCCTTTAAATTTCTGCTAGAGCACTGTGCACTCTGTGCAGCTGAGGACGGGGGGAGAGGAGCACACCACGGTCTAGGCAGCATAGAGAGCTAGCTGCCCCCAACATCGCCCTTTCTGCAAGTGCGGAGCCAGCCCCGAGCACCTTGGCAAGGGCCCACATAGGCTGTCTGCTCTCTTGCCTGTGGGTCTCATAAACTCAAAGATTTTAAGGTCAGAAGGGACCTTTATGATCATCCTGCCTGAATATCCTGTACATTTTAGGCCACAGAACCTCACACACCTGCTCCTGAGTAAACCCCTAACCTTTGTCTGAGTTACTGAAGTCCTCAACACTTAATTGTAAGCCTTTAAGTCATAGAGAATCCACAATTTACCCTAGTTCAAACCAGCAAGTGACCTATGCCCCATGTTGCTGAGGCAGGCAGCCTTTCTTCGCCTGCAGGGTTAGACTAGGAAAAATCGCCCAGCCTGACACCTAGGAAAGTATTCTCTGTAGTAACTCTCAGCCCTCTTGAACTAAGGTCCAATCTCTGTCCCTTGGAGATATCTGCTATTAACAGTCATGGATGGACCATGAGCCATTACAGTCAGACAATCTCATCCCTTCCATAAACTTAAAAGCTCACTCATAAAACAAATTAGATTTTTTGCCCTTGGGAGGTAGTTCCAGAGCTTCATTCCTCTGATGATTAGACATTCATCTAATTTCAAACCTAAATTTATTGATGGCCAATTTATATCCCATTTGTTCTTATGCCAAAATTGGCCCTTAAATTAAATAACTCCTCTCCATCCCTGGAGTTTATCCTTCTGATGTATTTATAGAGAGCAAGCACATCTCACGCCTCCTTCATTTTGTTAGGATAAACAAGCCAAGCTTCTTATCTCATCTCATTAAGGGATAGTTCTCAGGCAGATAGCCTGAGCCACCACCTGTGCAGCTGCAGCTCCACCACTACTTTTAGTGCTCTTGCTTGAGCAGCATTAGCACATATATGTCCAACTAAGCCTGGAACCACACCTCCCCGCTGCTGTACATAGGTACCCCAAGGGCACGTCTACAGAGCAGGGCAAAAGTTGAATTAAGCTATGCAACTTCAGCTACATCAACTGCATAACTGAAGTCTAAATAGCTTAATCTGGCTTTTGGGGCTTTCTACACAGCAGGAAATCGAAGGCAGAACACCCTTCCTTCGACTTCCCTTACTCCTTGTAATGAGGGTTACAGCAGTTGCGGTAAGAAGTTCCCCATCTTGGTATTATTTTGAAATAATGGCTTGCTGTGGAGATGCGCATTTTGTTATTTTGAAATAATGTCAGTTATTCCAAAATAATGCTGCTGTGTAAACATACCCTAAGAGCCCTAGTCTCCAAATTAGTACACAAGCCATGCTGATTTCTAGCAATCTTTCTCTCTTTCTGTGAGCTCCCTTTGCTCTGGATTTTAAAGCTAGCACTTACACAAAATACCTTAGTTTTCAGAAGTCACGTGACAATTTAAGGGGGTAAAAAAACAGACCAAAAATCCACACAAATTATATTGGCTATACATGCCAATATAAGAAAAGTTCAGAGCAGAGAAAGTGAAATCAAACCACAACAAAGTTAAACAGAGAAAGTGAAATCAAACCACAACAAAGTTAATCAACTCAAACCAACATTTTTTAGATTTCTTTCACATTTCTTAGCGCAGAGGTTCCCAACTGCCAGGCCACTGCCTGGTCAGGCAGCGAACTGCGGGCTGCTGGACTGTGGTGGCTGTAGGAGCTCAAGCTGGCTGTTCCTGGTAGCTCAGCTCTGGCAGCTGTGATAGCTCAGGAAGCAGCAGGAGGTGCCTCCTTCCCACCTCCCCACTCTGTGCTTGTGGGGGGAGGAGTGTGAAGGAGGGAGGCATGCGTGCGTCCAACGGCCACTCGCTCTGCCCACACAGCTGCTTTTGCTGGCAGCGGCAGGAGGAGGTGGAGTAGGAAGCGCCTCCCTAGGGCTTGGCGCTTCTCCCCTCAGGGCTACCCTGCCTCCCGCAGATGCTTTTGCCAGCAGCAGCGCTGGGGCTAAAGTGCCTCCCTCTCCTCCCCCCCATAATAGTGGCTGGGGCTCTGCATTCCCCCCCACTCATGCAGGGCACAAGACATGCTTGGGGAGGGCGGAGGTATGAAAGAAGAGGGCCACTCTCCTTGTCCACACAGCAGTAATGGACACACTCCCTAGGGGGGACAGCCTGCTCTGGGGATTATAGGGCATGTGGTGGGGTGGGAGCAAATGGGGGGATGGGTGAGGGCATGGTTGGGGAGTGTTGGCATGGGTTGTAGGGGTCAGAGGTTAAAGGATCAAAAGGCATGGGGCATAGGAGTGGGAGTCAAAGGGTGTTAGGCACTGGGGAGCAAGGGGCTGGGTTGGGACTAGGCGGATGGCAACATTTTATTTGCATAATAAATATGCAAATAAAATGTTACCTGCTCACCAAACATTTGTGAATGGGTTTCCTGGTCCTCGACATAAAAAGGGTTGAGAACCACTGTCTTATAGTTCTCTGTGGATTTTATAGGTTCTCTAAATTAATTTAAAGGCTATCCATTGCTATTTAGAATAATGGTGTTTCATGGCACAATACAGAAATAATACTTATAAAAGCATTTACCTCAACAGCATGGGTTTCAATATTGATTATAAAAATTTGTCCACCACACGCAGCCCAAATGGTGTCTTCCATCATGATCAGACTTCTAACGGGCAGAACCCCTAGTTTCACTACTTTCTGGGGTTCTGAATTCCAGGTTCCATCTTTACAAAGAAAAGAAGCAAGATGAAATGTTACATACAATAACATGTAATTTCACTTAAGAACAAACAGCTTGGAAAGCAGTATGCCTCCCCCAGCTTTGACTGAGCTATGAAAGCCTATAAAACAAAAGCAGCAACAGATAAACACACGGACTTACCATATGACTAGTGAGCAATCAGCTTGAAATGTGCAAAAGTACAAATGATCAGTTACAGGAAAGCATTTCCTTACATACAAGTAGCGTTTCTGCAAGCTAACTTGGGTTCTTGCTAACAACTATGTGATGTCTCTGGTCCAGCTATGGCCTTTGTTAGACCTGTGTAAAATCGAAGGGTTGTGCACAGGGTCATCCCTAGGGGAGTGTGGGCCTTGGGCAACTCCCCACTAGTGCCCCAAGTGCAGGACCCAAAGCAATCTCCCTGCTGCATGCCCTGCCCCCACCCTGCCTGTGCTCCATCCCGCCTCCACTTCACCCCTTCCCCAAGGCGTGCCCTTGCTCTGCGCTTGCCCTGCCACCTGGCCCCCTCCCTGAGCAACACGAGCTGAAGAATTACAGGGGTTTGGCATGAGGCAAAAGCAAGGGGTGCTCCCCCACTCCTGTATTCACCACAGCAGTAGGAGCCAGAGTGGAGCACCACCCTGCTGCTCTCTCCCAGCACACTGCACCATGGTTCTCTGCGGCAGTGGGAAGCAGAGCATTTTTGGGCTGGGGCACTCTGCTTTCCACTGCCATAATGAAACGCAGCGCAGCCAGCCAGGAGAAGATGGTGCAGCAGAGCGGATCAGGTTTCCAGCTCCAACAGCTTCAGGCTCCAGCTACTGCCACCACGGTGAGTGCAGGAGAGAGAGGGAGCGACCCTTCTGCTGCTCCACACCAGACTCGCCTAATCCCCCGAGTCCCTCCTGTGCACAGGAGAATTGAGGTGGCCACCACAGGACCCGCAAAGATGCAGGCTCTAGGGCAGTTGCCCTGAGCCATCTTATGGACGGGATGGCTCTAGTTGTGCAGGCAGAACTCAGGGCACAGTTTCAAGACACTGGGGAGGCAGAAGTGTAACTGCGTATTCAGTCAGCCAGCAATATCTTTACAATTAGTGGTGATGTATGGACAAGGAAAAAAACACAGCTGGACTTTCAGAATCTATTCTGAGTTTGCAGCGATGGCTGCCAGAAAAAACAACTATTTATCTGGTACGTAAGCAGGTTTCATATGGATACAATCAGATGCTATTAACATGGAACACCAAATCTCCATTTGCAAAGTGGCACTTTGCAGAGCAGAACCCAACTGCTTGTCTCATCTTACTTTCCACTAACTGCAGTCCAAATCTGAGAGTCCATTTATGAGAATTTCACACAACTACAGTTGCTCTCTTGGAAGGCGGAGCCCAGAGCTGGCTTATTACAAGATGAATTACGTGTCATGCTAGAAAGGCTTAAAGTCCAGATGTGTGAAGCTGTCAGTGACGTTATTACAGCTTCTACCACATTAAAGTATCTGCCTAGCAGAAACCTGACGGGATGAACTTTCTGCTACTAGTTCCTTAACTTTCAGAAATGCATTTTAAAAGAGATTAAAGATTAATTTCGTGCCATATCTTCTGTGTATAGTTCAGTTTTACTGAGAATTCATTCTGATGACACGCCATCTAGCAGCTGATTCAAACTGGATATAGATTGTACCTTAATGCATGTTGCAATATCAAGACTACAGTATTCTTGTGCTTCAGCCTGCATGCCACCACTTATCAGCATGGTCAAAGAGATGTCAAGCAGCAGTCTGAGGCAGGGATTGAAGATTAAAGAAATGATAGCAGGTTGCTTTGCCAGAGATTTTGCCTTTAGAAACATGGCCTTGCTTTGAATATTTTGTGCATGTTACTTTCAGGCCTATATTTTGAATCACATACAGAATTAATCATTTCAATACCTTTCACATACAATCGTTTATTTTTTATCATTAACACTCATTCAATATTAAATGCCCACAATACTGTCATTATAACAGTCTCCTATAACCACAGAATTGTAAAGCTGGAATGGACCTTGAGAGGTCATCTAGACCAGCCCTTTGCACCAAGACAAGGCCAAGTAAATCGAGACCATTCCTGATACATATTTATATGTTCATAAAAACATGTTCCACAATGTCCCATGAAAGCCTATTCCAGTGCTTAACTATCTTTGTAGTTACAAAGCATTTCCTAGTATTTACCTTGCTGCAAGTACTTCTTGTCTTTCCTTGAGTACCTACAGAGAACAAATGATGATGGATCTTTGCATAAAAGTCATTCATTTACTTGAATACTGTTATCAGATTCTCCCTGCCTACCTCAGTCTTCTTTTCTCAGGACTAAACAGGCCCATTTTTCAAAAAAATATTTCCTCATAGGTTGAATTTTCTAAACCTTTTATTGGGACAATGGCAGAGGCAGTGGCTCTGAGGAGTCTGTCTCAACTTCCTTCTGAACCTACTGAACTGGTCAAATGCTAACGGCCCCCTGAGCTTTAGCCCTTGCTCTAAGTTCTACAGGCCCTGAAGCTGAAGGGAGGAGGCCACAGCTCAATCGCTTTTAAGCAAAGGTTCCATACTACATCAGCACGGCTGCCATTGGCACAACCAGCAATTTGACTGTGTGGTTGCAATGTCACTGCAATGTGGTCTGTCTGATACATATAGACAGATGAGTAGATGGATCAAATTTCAGGGAGTGGTGTTGCAATCTGGCACATGGGGTTGTAATTAGGATTTGTAAAATTTCGATTTATTGGCTAATTGAATAGTTGATGCAATTTGCATTGACTATTCGATTAGTTGATAAGGGCACCTCTGCCTTTGAAGTGTAGCAACAGCCCCAGGGATGTTGCTACATTTCAAAGGCGAAAGCGCTGTGGAGAGCACATGGCCAGCGGGGGACTCAATCAATCCCCTTCTAGCCCTGTGCTCCCTGTGGCGTTTCAAAGCAGCAGCGCCCCATGGAACCCGGGGTCAGATAGGGACTCTGAGTCTGCAGCTAACCTGGGCTTCATGCAGTGCTGCCACTTTGAGATGCCACGGGGAGCCTGGTGTCAGGCATTTCAAAGTGACAACATCGCATGGAGCCTAGAGTCAGCAGGGGAGTCCCCAGCTGACCCCAGGCTCCACGTGGTGCTGCCACTTCAAAGCACCTCCTCCTTCCCCCACTCTTGCTGCCTCTTTCTGATTGAGGCAGCGGGGTGGGTGAGCGACTAGTGAACTAGCATGTGACTATCCGATAAGCATTTGCTTATCGGATAGTTGACTAGTTGTTTACATCCCTAGTTGTAATGCCACTCAACTTTGGCCCAGCCACTCCTCTGTTCTGCTAGAGGGGCAGCTGAACCAAATGGTACTGTGGCCCAGTGAACAAGGCATCTGTTTTTGTACAGCGGAGTCAGTGAGAACTCTACTCCTGCTGTCAACAATTCAAGCATTGCATGGGTAAGAGAAGGAAAACTCACCATTCGAGGGAGACAGGATCCCAGTGGATGGGTGGGGACAGATAAGCAGGGGCCAGACCAGCAATTTTGGGGAATGGTGAGATATATTTTCCCCCATGTAATAATCTCAAGACATACTGTATTATTATATAGTTCAATTTTGCTCTCTGTTCTTGGTATGATACAACATCATTTTAAAAATTACATTCCCGATCAAAAATGTTCTTTTACAACTTGGCATTCATTCCACTCCTGGCCCAACAACTGAGCTGAACTTAACATGCATCTTTTTGTTTGGTAACTTCCTCTCTCTTGCTCAGCAGCACCACTGATTACTTCAATAATGCTGCCAGCACAACCTTGGCAATAGGATTTGTTAGTTTATTTGTGCACTCAAGCACAAAGATTTTTACATCACTTGGTACATGAACAGTGGCTAGTGATTTATTTCATTTCTTAATGATAAGATGAGGCATTTACAAACAAAATTATGTTTGCAAATAACAACACATTTCCCAGCATCTGGGGATAACTATTTTAGGTCTCAAACCTGGCTTCCTCTGAATATAAAGTGTATCTTTACATGCCTAGGAAAACCCCCTGCTGCACATACACGTGTGAGCACAGTAATAGTGTTTTCAAAATATGAACAAATATTGCATATCAAATGGCAGGATTCAGTCTCATATAAAAGTCAGAGTTTATCCTACTCCAACTTCTTTTAAGCCACCTACACAGGTGATACTGAAAATACTTGACTTGGGTGTGTAATTACGATTAGGTAACTATTCAATATTTGCAGTATTCAAGGTATTTCCTGTAGCATAGATAAGGACATACTGCCAACACAAGGAAAACAATATTTATCTTTTTCAGTGCCACTGCTAGTCCATCACCCTTATAGTTCACAGTATTTTGTTCAGTTCAGGTTTACATATTATAAGCAAATGTGGCTCCCATCACTTCCATTAGGAGATTACTTCACAGACAGAGATCTCACTGTCAGGAATTTTGTTATTAATTTAAATTGTCCCATTTCTAACTTCATCACATTACTCTTATTTATATTCCTCATTAACTCTGCAGGATAATATCTCATCCTACTTGGTGTTAGTCCTCTGCAAATGTTTACAGATTGTTATCATGGTGTTACTTGGTGATTGCTTAGCTAAACTGTTTCGCTATTTATCTATAAGTCAATATTTCTAGTCTCCCGATGATTGTTGCTATTGTTCTCTGAATTCCACAAAGTCAATGTTTTTCTGGCAAGGAAGTGCCTGAAACTGAACATAATATTCCAGATGCAACATACACAAATGCTATAAAGATGGAGTATTACTTTCCTGTCCTGAGGCATGATGCCTCTGGGAATAAAAACCAAGTGTGCACTGACCTTTCTGCTACCATCTTACCACTAACACATCTGCTTGGCAGTCACTCCCAAATCTTCATTTTCTAAGTTCCTGCTGCCTGCACGCTGTGAATATCTTCTGTTTTGCATAATTACCCTACAAGGCTACGTCTAGATTGCAAGCCTCTT